CCCCCGCCTCCACAATCCCGAAACCTCAAACCCAATTCCACACGTGGCTGTCTGGTTGACGAGCCATGAAAACGCAGACGATGCACTGCCGTCCAAAATGATGACGGAAAAAAAAAAAAAAAAAACACAACTACCCATACAATTGTGTGGAGGACACCCGCACACACTGACACTCACTATCACACACACACATCATGCACCCTACGTCGCCGATCGACCACGGATGGCGGCAGCGATCTCCATAAGCACGTGGCACATCATCCTCTGTGTCTCATCGGATGCCGCGTAGTGCGCTTTCAGGATTGCAACTTCCTGCTCTAGTATGTCGCATTGCCTCGTGAATATGCTGCATTGCCGCTTGCTAGATGATTCGATCGTCGACGACATCAGTTCGCCATGGCGGTCCATGACATCAGCAATCGACTCCAACGCGTGTTGACGCGCATTCTTCCGCTTACCGCCTCTATCCCCGCTGGCAGTGTTGTTGTCGGAGTCCCTCATAGTAGAACGTTCTTTAGGGAGGCCTTCACCAGCGCCCTCACTACCAATAGACTCCCCAGCACCCGCTCCTCGCCTGGGCAGATGCACCCCGTCCGGACTTCCAGTGTCGGCGATGTTGGGAGGGGAAATTGTGAGGTTGCCAACCATGCCTATGTGGATCTCGTTGTATAGCGCCCTCTCCATCCGAAACTTGAAGTTGTGCTCCTTCCTTTCTTCATTCGATAGCCGGAAAAAATCTGGTCGGCCACTCGCATTCTGAAACCTCTATATCTTCTTGTAGTTTTGGAAGATATTGTCCCACTTCTTCATGCAGTCGTCCACGTCTTTCGGCCTCCCCGCATTCGTCATGCGCTTGGCAATATCTTCCCACTTCCACTCCTTGGTCCGCATCCGCCCGTAATTGTGACCGAGACCGGTGAGGTGCATCTCTTGCTCCCGCTTGCATCTCACCAGTTGGATTTGCTCTTCCGGGGACCAGTACGTCGCAGACTTCCCGCCATCATCGTTGACGCCACCTCTGCCCCCACGGCCAACGGATCGACCACGAACAGCACCGCTGTTGCGTCCTCTCCCCCTCCCGCCCGTCTTCCCCAAAGGCCGAATAGGAATGTCGTTGTCGTCGTCCCCTACCTCCACGTCTTCCCCGAATCGCCCGTCTGCATCGTCACCACCACCACCATCGTCGTCGCCACCATCGTTGTGTGCCCGCATGTTCGACACTCCTCGTGTGATGTTCTCCACACTGGGTGTTCGACGCACCGCTGGTCTGCACGTGCCGTCGGCCCTGAGGTCGGGTTGGGTCGGCGTTGTGCTTTTGGGCATCGAATGAAGTGTACCGTCGATGCGCAGGGACCCTACTGCGACTCCATTGCGTTCGGGGCAGGTGCTTGTCAATCGATCGGTGGACGGTGCACTCGATCCATGTTGTCGGCCTTCTGACGATGGCCTGACACCGCCACAAACGGATGCACCGCCACGAAGTGTGGACTGCTCTGTATGCCGACTTCTAGATTGTTGAACGCCACGTGGTGAAGGATCGACGCCGATGATGAACGTGCGGCTCGCCTCCCTACCCCCGCCAGAAGACAACCCAAACCGGAGATCAACTCCGCCGTCGTCGTCGTCTCCCAATCCTTGCTGCAGGAGTGTCGTGTACTCGCCGCGTCCGTTGCTTGCCGACCCGCCTGCGAGCACCGTCTGCGACAGCAGCTGCGTCGACCCGCTGCCGAGAGGAAACGTTGGAAGTTCATCCCCCTCCGGCTCCTCATCCGAGGGAGGCAGCGGCGTCTCCCATGACGGCAGATGGATGTACATGGAGAAGTCGTACCGCCTTGAAGGCTCCGTCGTCGGAGGTCTTCTTCCGCCCTCAGCCGCAGGTGGAACAGCACATACCTGCATGCCCGCCATGGGCGGAACAGCGCGTACCTGCACACCGCCTTTCGTTGACGCCCTGCGCTTGCGACGTTGCTTCCACGGCCGGCACGACAAGCACACGTGGAGGAAGACGACAAACAGGAAGACGATGACAACGAGAAGCAGCAAAGTTAATCTCCTCTGCATGTCTGCCATGAATTCGACGTCGGCAGGCGACCTTGCACATGACGTCGTGCTGAACTTTCTCCTCACCAGCCCGCGGACAAGACTGCTGGGCCTTCATATGCCGTCGACCGCCAGCGAAGACGACAAACGATGCCGCCTGCAATTCAAAAAGTGACCGTTGGCGCCCACAATAGACTCCGTGTGTCGTCGTGCACACGTCTGGGGACTCCTCCATTGCCCGCATCCGAGCCAACGGTCCTCAACGGTCGCGAGCCAGGCCACGCTTCGCCCACCGCGCTCCACCCCACCGGCCAACGACTACCAGTGGGGGCCGTTGCCGTCAACGACTACCAGTGGGGGCCGTTGCCGTCGTCGACCGACAGAAAACCTTCGATGTCCGCCCACCAACCCGACGGACCTCTCCTAGACCAGCACCTCCGTGTCGACGGTGCCATTCTCGCGACGCGACGCGACGACTCCGTGAAACGCAGGAATCCTAAATTTTTCAGTAGGTCCGGGGCTACTGGAAAATTTAGTACGATTTGGCTGGGGAATCCTAAATCTTTTAGGACGAGTCCTAACGCCGTTTTCACATTTTCGATTCCCGCGTCCGATTTAGGATTGCATGCAACCAAGACGCAATCCTAAAAACAGGAACTTTTAGGAGTGTCTAACGAAGATGGGATTGAATAGGGAGTCACTGGAGAGCTATGCTCTCTAGTTTGTACCCTGGAGTGCAGAAGTACGGGGGATGGTTGTGAGCAGGGGAATGGGCAGAATGTGAAAAAGAAAAAAGGACTTTTTTTCAAAAACGGAAAGTGTACAATGGGGAAATAGAAGGAAGGCGGGAAGCAGGAAATGGGGGAATTGTTGGTTGTGAGTTTTTGCGGTAGTTTGATTTTATCTGCTGGGATGTAGTATTTAGGCGATCTTAGTTTCCGTCTTTGATGTGTGGGAATTTTTCAATTATAAAAAAAATACCTTTTGATCTCGGATATAAGTATGTAGATGGGACTGAATAGTGTAAAGTGTGTTGGTAAGGAGAGGGTTTTTCTGGGTCCGACTCGGGACAGAAAATAGGTGAAGCCTCCAACTGGGAAAATTGCAGAGGAACAAAAAAAGCAGGAGGGCAGAAGAAGAAAAGTGAGGGACGGGTAAGGAAGTCGAGATCGACCGGAAGAGACGTCCGGGAAAGGAGATTCTAACTTGGGTACGTCGCAGGCTGTAGCGATGGTTCAACCTTCGAAACGACGGGTAAGCAAGGAGCGATCCATCACTGACGGTGAACAAAAGCTGTTTATGGGAACGGAAAGAGGGGAGGAGATGGCCGAGCTTGTAAGTAGGGATATGGTGGAAGGAGCAGAGGCGGACGGAGCAGAACGGGAAGAGGCGCAGACAGCCGGGGGGGCAGACGATGGATTTCCACACAATGCATCGGGACGCGACGTATAGGCGGGAGAGAATATGTACGTATCAGAAGTAGGAAGAATCTGATTGGGCAGGAAGGAGGCGAGGGTGGGATAGGGGAGAGGGAAGGGAGTTAGTAGCTTCTCAAGGGACAAACATACACACCAGATCCTGGCCTAGAAGCAAGCGGGAGACAGTATAAAAAAAAAAGAGGATGGGGAGAAATCCCATCAGTGAAGTGCTTGGGCCTCTAGCAGGTAGATCCCTTAAGAGTCTGTCGTGTACGTCGACAACGAAACGCATCGGGGCAGTACGTACGAGGGAGGGGAAGGACTCTTGAGTATGCATGGAGAGCTCAGAATGGATGTAGTTATGGTGATATCTTTCAATGTTGAGTGAGATGTTTTTTTCTCCATGCTTTGTCCAGTCTTCCTTCTTCCTTCTTCCTTGAATCTCATATAGCGTGGTAACCGTAGCATTATATACTGGTTCGGTGACTATGAATGGAACATACAGTCAGATTGGAAGCTTGGTGAAGTTCGTCGTTCAAGTTGAAGTTCTTCTTTTTCACGTGTAATCGTTCGGGGCAAGACGTGGTTTGGGGAATAGGCGAACGTCGGTAAGGTGGGAACGATCTCACTGGGAAAGATGCACGGACGAGGATAAGGACCCAGCAAGGTGGTTGATTACGGTTGAATCCAGCGAAGGAAAGGTAAAATAGGGAGGTTAATGGGCACTACTCTAGGAAGTACTGGTACTTTTCCCAGCTATCCGCCACCGAAAAAAAATTGAGTAGAAACGTTTCTAGTCGGATGAATTTGGGCGCTCCTGTAGTAGCCCGTACGTTTCCTAAAATCGTGGCGCGTTAACGGGCACGACTTTAGGAAGGACTGGTGGTTTAACATGATGTCCTAGCATCACTTTTTCTGGTACTGTTTTCAGTCCAGGGTTTCCTTTTTTTTTGTTTTTCTAGGCCTAAACCACCAGTACTTGGCCCAGCTATTGATGCCGAGGAGGGATACCCCCTGCGCGCCAAGTTCTGCCCAACCGCCGGGTCACTGTTTCGTTTTCATTTTGGCTGGCGCTTCCAGCCATTGCAGTTCGGTGCTCCGAAGCGCGCAACTACAGGCGCGTTAACGGGAATCGCCCGCGGCCGATAGCTGGGCCAAGTACTGGTGGTTTAATTTCTTCTCTCAAATCCACATTAACACTACCTACCTACCACTACTACTCCAGGGAACCCCGTAGCAGCCAGCCAGAGTGCACAATGCCTCAAAGTAGAGAGTGCGGGCTGCCCCTGACCTGCAGGTGGGCGATACCGGCTAGGGGACAGCGGGTAGCATCAGTGACCATGCCAAGGGACCAATGGCCGTTCCCCTTCCCTAAGAACATTGCCCCCTAGGAAAGGTACATGAGGCCAATGGGGATTGAACACCATTGGCATACCTTCTGAATGCTACTTCCTAGCCTTACCAACTGATGCCGCTGGAGGTACATGAGGCCCATGGGGATTGAACACCAGACCTTCTGAATACTACTTGCTATCCTTACCAACTGACTCCGCTGTAGACAGTCCAGATTTCCCATTCCATGTAATAATATTACATAATTGGTCGTTTTACAAAAATGAAAGGCATATCAAGCGGCCTAGCTCAGTTTGTAAGGCACGCAAGTGGCATTCAGGAGGTCTTGGGTTCAATCCCCTCATGCACCTTCCTGGGCTTGGCGCCCTCCACCTAGAGATGGCCCGTTGGGGCCCCCAATCGACATTTAAAAGCAGTCTCTGCTGATGTTCATAGGAGGGGTAATCGGGGAGGCACACAGACTACCGTAGCCACTCAGTTGATGCTCTGTCCCTCTGCTACCGGCTGTCCCCTGGCCGGCGGGTGTCCCCCATTTGGGGCTCCCTGAAGGCCCTAAATAAAGGCCATGTTCGGTCCCTCTGCTACCGGCTGTCCCCTTGCCGGCAGGTGTCGCCCATTTGGGGCTCCCTGAAGGCTGAAAAGGCCACCCGGTGTCAGATTCGACACGATATTGAATTTACCGGGACTGGTTAGTCCGATGATAATACAAGGCCATCGCCCTTCAAAAAAAGAAAAAAAAGAAAAAAAGAAAGGCATACTCACAGGAGGACTTTTCCCAGTCCCCTTTCGGGTCTAACTGCGGTACGGTGCATCCTGGTGGGGTTGGAAAAGCGGTCAGATACATCCAGGAAACTGCGTGTGTGAGTATGCCGTTAGGACTTCTTTTGTTTTCCCTTTTCAATGTGGCCCACAAGGCGCCATATCGGTAGATTGGCTCCATTACCCCGTGCTACCAGTGGAACACTGCTACCGGTAGGGGACCTTTCCGTTGCCCCCATCGGCCTGGACCGTGCCGTCGATGTCCTCTTTTTTTTTTTAATTGAAGTTGGACCCTTTCTCGATTCTTGCGTGTCATCCCTGCGCAGGGCAATGCCAATCTTCTCTGTATCATTTCATTTGTTAAAGATGTCCTGAAGGACCATCGATGTCTTTTGATGTGAGTTATCCCTTGCCTCGCCCACGCCGCTCTCCCTCCTCCTCCTCCTCCTCCTCCTCCTCCTCCTCCCCTTCTACTCCTCCTATTCGCGTCTCTCCCTCTCTCTTTCGGCAACCACTGCCTTCCCATGCTCATCGAAAGTGTGTGTGTGTGTGTGTGTGTGTGTGTGTGTGTGTGTGCGCGTGCACGCGTTCTCATGTTCTCATGCATAGCCGATCAATGGCTGATCTTGATGCTTGATTGCCCATGAATGCCTGATCGAAGATCGGGGATTTATTATCATTGATTGGTTGATCGATGGCTGATAGCCAATCAATGGCTGATCTTGATGGTTGACTGCCCATCAATGCCTGATCGAAGATCGGGGATTTACGGCCATTGATTGCCCATCAATGTCTGATCGAAGATCGGGGATTTACCACCATTGATTGTTTGATCAATGGCTGATCAATGGATGATTGCCGATCAGCGGCTGATCTTGATGGCTGATTGCCGACCAATGGCTGATGGAAGATTGGGGATGGACCACCATTGATCGATCTAGCACCGTTGATTGATTGACCAAAGGCTGATCGTGATGGTTGATCTCCGAACAATGGCTTCTCTTGATGGCCGATCGCCGATCGACGGTCAGCCATTGATCGACGATCAATCAGTATTGATTGATGGATCCTGATCGTCGATCAATCAATATCTACAGCCTTCACCCAGGTGATGCTGCTGGCAATCATTTGTAAGCTCGGTTTCCTTTTCTTTTTCCCCCATTTCTTTTTCCCCTTTCTTTTTCTTTTTACCCTTTTTCTTTTTCCCCTTCCTTTTTCTTTTTACCCTTTTTGTTTTTCCCTTTCCTTTTTGTTTTTACCCTATTTCTTTTTCCTCCTTTTAGTTTGCGCCCTTTTTCTTTCTTTCACCTCATTTTCCGTTTTCAGAGTGGGAATGGATTACGGACACGTGGCATGATGTGGTTACCACGTCGTTGGGATGGGATCGGAGTAATGGATCAGGGACACGTGGCCTTGATCTTGATCATCACGTGTTCATCACATTGACAGCCGTCAATGTTTGAAAAAAAAAAAACAAAAAAAAACACACTCGTTCGATGGGCGGCAGACTTGAAACGGACCACCTGAAGAAGAATTAGGGCATCGCCACACCACTCTCGAAATGTGCAAAATGGGAATGAACTTCCCCGCTAGAACGTGGCCAGATGC